GAGAGAGAGAGAGAGAGAGAGAGAGAGAGAAGAGGGGGTATCGAATGAAAGCCCATGTCTATGTTATTGAATAATATAATAATAAATACTGTAAAGCCCATAGAGATTGCTGTTGATCGGGAATTTGCGTTATACAAATGCTGTTTTTTGTTTGTTTATTATTAATGTATTATCTATTCTCATAAGCTTCTATTAATTATTAAGTGTGGATTTTATTATTATTCTTACATCTGTAGCGTGCATTAAGTATGTCCATGATGCCCACGTTCTATATTAAAAGATCAAAATTGTAATTTGCACAAAAGCAATTGATTGAGGCCTGGTATTACATTAGTGGTCTGCACTGCAAATTACGTTTAGCAGCAATTTCATCCCTCATGCCCACCCTTATCGTCTATAAAGGCAAAGATGAAAATATAACAAACGGAAAACAAACACGTTATTGTCTCTGTTTGTATCGTATGTGAAATTTTGCCTCAGCTAAATCCTCATGGCGTCTAATGACACCTGCTGTGGTTTTTATGACTTTACGAATTTCGAAATTTCCTGTCGATGTTGATCATTTATGAGGCAGTCTACTTCAACCCAGCCAGTCAGGACTAACTAGAAGCGGTGATACTTAATTGTACTCAATAAAGTATTATTCTATCGTCCGTCTATCGGAATAAAAACTACAGAGTCATTTCGCTTCTAGAAAAATGAAAAGAAAAGAATCGGAAAAAGGAGAACCGACCTCAATGGAGTCTTTGGTAATGACGAACTTATGTTGAGAATCATTGCTCAAAACGTGTAAACAGGACACTACTTATCATATAACTAAGCTCAGACTTGGATTATCAAGTCCTAGACCGCGCACCGTCGTGGCCGTCGCTCTTTATCTTCTATTGAAATTTGCTGCGCTGGTGCCTACTGTGTGCCCGATAGCGAATAAAGAGCAACAATCCATTAACTATTGTCGAGAGAGCGCGCCAACTTTCCCTTCGTGCCTTCCATTTGGTTCCAAATAGAGTCAAATGGTGCATTCAATGGGGAACCTGAATTACGCCCGAGCGCTTGAATGCTATATTATAATATAATGCATGCAACCAAGTTACGTTACACATGGGAGTGTTGTAGGATAGACTGCTTTTCGACGTGAAACTGGTGGCTTTAAAGTGCATTTCCACATCGAATTAGATGACATGATACTGGGACGATGAAAACCAAGACAACGGACATTTTACATTTAATCAATCGTCAAGGCGCAACATAATATAAATATTCCATATCGGGGTTTCGATTTGCTTCGGTTATGTCTTATTTCGCGTTCATCGATTTCTAGTTTCATAATGCCGATCCTATAAGAAACCAAAGAATTCTAAGAGTCAAAATCATCATCATTTCACCATTGGTATGAAACTATGATACCTCGCAATTTTCTTAGATCATCAATCTATTTCTTGATGAAGTAAACTTTGAATAAGTTTTTAAAAAAAAGATGCAAGTGTGTGATTATTGGATATCCCCTCTGAATAGAAGGTTCATGTGCCTTCACCAAAGGTTGATTGGCTAGCCCGGATGACATAGAGGATTAATACAAGATGCCATCGGCAAACAACTGTTGTCATTATACATGTATTCCTTCGCTACAGATTGCCAGGTCTCCATCTGACACTTGGTAAACTCCGTGAATCGGGGGGAAAATTATTTATTTACGGTCGCAATATCCCATCCTGCTGTGCTGGCGAACAACGGCATGTACGTTCTTCAGAATGCAATTCCTATGTCCCATCACTTGTCTAGGACGACCGTCGTCTCTTCCTTTGCCATCAGTCTGATTCGCAACAATAAATATTATTTCGGCGTCTTAGAAAATACACAATAATAGTCCCACCACTGCACGAAACAACTCATCGACTTGATTTACTACTAGTAAACGCTGAGCACTTTTGTCTTCCAATCCTTTCACTCACCAGGTCAGATATTTTCCGGCCCACTCTGTTCTAATAAGCCACATCCACTATTAGTTCAGGATACTCTGAGTAGACAAGTTCAACGAATATGCTATTGAACGTTGTAATGGAACATTGAAAAGTACCACATTCCTACGTTCAAATCTGACATCATGTACAGGAAGCAGGTATTCACAATTCCGTAAAAATGACCACACTTTTCAGATAAACACCAGTTAGGGTTTGAACCCATGTCATCCTCTTCTCCCTTTTTGCATCCCATTGCACCCAACAGTCGACACTGAAACGCAACCTACTCTGTAATCACTCTGCATTTGTCCATTGGGTTCATGTAAGCGTTGTCAGAGCACTGAAAGGCATTGGAGAACGCATCCGAACTTCTCAAGACTCCATTGATTCTGTGGAAGAAATGAACAGAAAACAACATAAGAGAAGGATATAATATGGCAAACTAAAAAGGACATTGGACGAGGAAAATACTCCAAGTGGTTAAATATACAAGCACTATTGAGGTTGTTCAAACTTGAGTGTTAGGTAGCAGAAAAGTAAAAATACATAAAGGGATGCTACATAATCTGAAAGAAAGATACTTCACATATTTTTCTTAGTTCACCCAACAGCGAATGAGTAATTGGCAATCGGCAGAGGCAGAACTTTCGAAAGATAAGATCAGTGATCTAACTAATAATTCTACTTCGAGATACGAAGTGGGTAGTTTCGAAGGAGCAGACCAGCTAACTGAGCTTTTAAGAGGCTCTGTGAATTTGTCTTAGGGATACGCGAATGAAATAGCAATGTAATCCAATATATTTTTCCTTGAGCAATTCGTATTTCTGAGGATTGAGGTCCGATGAACTTATGAACCCCCGGAAAGTTAGAATACACACACGTGTACGAATGTTTCCTTCGTGTAATGAGATAGTATGATGACATAGTCATAGTGTACACTGCATTTAATAATTACACCCGCACGTCATCATTTTAGCTTACAAGATGGAATTATAGAGCATTATTTTAAATTAGAAAAAAAAATAGATTACAGCAAAACTATTTAAAAATAAAAGAGCTTGGACACTCCAAAAAAGAATTTATCTTATTGAAACTTTAAGGAGCTTTTAAAAAAAATAAAAGAGGCAGTCTGTTTGATTGAATACTATGTTTTTCTAATGATGAAGGCAACAATATATTATATGTCGAAATAAGGGAGATAATCGTTGATAATGTTATCTATTTAAAAATGAGTTATGATCTTTCCTTACCGGTTATTTCGTATTACTTCAAGCATGTTACCTGCAATTCAGAGAGTTCGTTCTAATTGCCAACTGTACAAAATGTACATTTATTCAAAACCCCGAAGCCAAAATTTAGATAATGTTGTGGGCGAGATGCTTTGATTATGCATGTCAGGGCTAATCTGGGCTGCATGGGGTTTTGCTTTTCTACAGAAAGACGGAGATAAAACATAGATGTGTCTACCTTGTGAGATTCGAACTCTTGTTTACCGAGACAGTGATCAGTTGTAAGTTAGATTCTTTTCTTCGAGTGCGAACTTTCGATAATGAATGAACCTTGTGCACTCTCTGTAGGTGAGGCTATCTAATAGTGAATAATATTTTTCCACAGGATAAGGAAAACAGCGCTACATTGTTGTAAATAGAGATCAGATCGTGATCTCAGGCTTAGCAAGAATATTATTTAAAATGTGTGTTGTATAAAACAGCAGTAAAAATGCTAAACCTGGCCTGGAACTATAGTTGTACGCACTATTCCACCACAAGACTTGTACTGCAGTGGTCGCACGAGCTAAGACGAATGGAATATGACTGTGACTAATTGGGTGAGTGCTTGCCAGAACATGCCAGCTGCGATAACTGCAAGGAACAGATCAATAGTCTCCGCCGTTACATTTTCACCAAACAATATTATAGAAGATTACCAATTTAGCATCGCTTTTGGTGTCGTTGACCTTTTCGTCACATGCCTCATTTTTGTGGATTGGTTCCAGAAGTCTGTGACGTCACTGTGATTCCCCCAGGGACATCGCCTGCTTCTACTAAGGGCTATTTCCCGGCCTGTTTGCCCAGGCTGCTGGATGTCAGTTGGCATAAGGCGGTCCCGGGGGAAAACTAAAGCTGTCATGGGTCAGTCCTAATTAATAGTCTCTGGCACGCAAACCGTTCGCCATCTACTATTCGTGAACTGCGAGTGCTCCGAACTATTTAAAGAAGCAGTCTTTCCCTAAAGTGAGAATTATGGCAGATACCTACAGCTAACTGGTGACTTATTTTTTACAATGAACTTCTTATCTCCATGCCGTCTGTAGGGTTCACTCAATTATCTACAAAGTGGAAACGGTTCTGTATCGCAAGCAGAGGCTCAGACTCACACAATCATTGTATTTTCACAACCACATAATTACTGATATTCAGGAGAAGGATATAAATGTATCTCAAAAAGAGGAAAAAGGAGGGAGAGGGTAACACATAATTTAAAGTGGTAGCTTGAACAAAACCAACCTATGTTAATCAAGGGGAATTACCAAGGAAGTAAGGAAACAGGCGTGCTAATACTAAAATGTCAATTCCACGTAGAAATATGCACTGCGCAAGGTATCTGGTGAGAAGTCGTGGAACGAGATGTTTCTGATGTTGTATCATGATTCTAATCCGCAAAGCGTATTATGTCAAAATCTTTTGATGACGTTTAAGCGAGACCCGTGATTGTATAATATGTAGATATACTCTTCAGCGTGCAAATTACTTAAATATCAATCAAATCGTCAACTAGACTAAGGTTTTTGTTCTTGGCTTTGGTGTCCATTTCAGAGCATGTCTAGCGTGTTTGGCCATTGTTTGCAGGATAAGATACTACTATCTCCTATTTTTTTCCCTTTCCTAAGTTAAGAAATAGAATGAAAGTAAGCACTATGTCGCCTTCACACAGGCATTATTTGTCAAAAACCGAAACAGGGTATTCTTGTAATAAAAATCGTTTCTTTTGTAGTAATACGAGTCAGCTGCTCTTTTCGAAGGCCAGCCTCTTATTTTGATGTACTGGACTCTCTTTTACAGACCTTATCCTCCACATAGCAAAACAGAGAGCTTTATCGAAGCCCGCAACTAGGCTTACGGAGATAGAATGCGACTCCGAAAATTGAAAAATTTATGCAAATGGGTGGAATTTCCCCAAAAGGGAGAACTCCATTGTGTCTCTCAGCCACCCCCCCCCCTACACGCACAAGTCGGTTGGAAAGCAGACTATTGTATCGCCCGATCTAGTATGGAAGTTAAGATTAGTAACTACAACGAAACACTTGGCCGGTTAGCGTAAAAAGAAGTCCTCCATTGGAATAACATAATATTAACAATAGAAGCTATCTATCACGTTTCGACTGCGAATTGCACCTTCCTTCGACATCTAGCAATACTTGAGGAAAGAAAAAAAATAAAAATAAAAGTAAGTAGCTCCTACAAAACAAGCAAGTCTTTGAGGCACCCTTACATCTGACGGCCTGGAATTCTGGGTGTGTCCCTCGGTCCTTTGCTGACGTAATGCTGCAGGATTCCCCTCTCACTGATCTTTTCACAACGAGTCTGAGGAGGATGAGGAAGGTTAAGTTTCGGCTTAGATGCAACTCCATGGGTACCATGGTGGTCATCGTAGTGAACACAACCAGAAAAAACAACAGACAAACGATGTGGAGTGACTGCAACACTCTTGTTTCAAAGGTGAGAGAGAACACGGCGATACGGCACAGGTCATCATAGCATACTAATGTTATTGCTGCCCTTGATGATGGTGATGATGATGATGATAATGACGATGATGATGATGATGATGATGATGATGATGATGATGATGATGATGATGATGATGATGATGATGATGATGATGTGAG